GTCCACCACGATAAAAGATCCTCATTAACTTTGCATCTACATTGTTTTCATTTTGCCAGCATGTCATTTTAACACTTTTTGTACCCACCACCACATAATGTGATGCTAAGACTGGGAATGTGCTGAATGTGCTGAATGCACATTTACCATTTGGGACAATAAAAGATAAAACTGTTGTTTTTTCCCCTTCAATACAAAAATGAACTTATCATAATGAATAAAATAACTATTTATCAATGACTTCAAATTCCATGCAGGATTTATCTTAGATTGGATTATAGTTCATAGTTATTGCATTGGCTCTGTATATGGTCTATGTAACACAAGAAGTAGGAGAATTTCTGTAGCCCTTAAATTAACATGTTTCTTTGATTTATCTGAGATGTTTTCAAAGACAGACATCAGTCTGTGTAAAACACTAGCGAACATGCTGGTTCTTCTTTATTAACACAAACATTGTCACCTCATCTAAAATAAGTGCAGTGATGAAGTGTAAACCAATAATGACATAAGCAGAGATGCTGTGGAACTTTTCCTTTAATTAAAGTATTTCACACCCATTAACACAGTAAGTAACAGCTGTCAGTGGTTGTAGCATCACAGTGAAAAAAACACCCGCACAGGCTGGACGCACAACAAGCACAGCAACCAAACATTGAAACCAGCTTCTATCATTATCTACGTCTGGAGAGAAATAAAGATTTCACTGTCAAGTAATGGACGGCCGCTTTTCAGTTTCAGTTTCACAAGAGAACCTGTCAAGACAGGAAGACTTGAGGGACACTTCAGCATATGCACAGTATATATATATATATATATATAAAAAACTGAGAGCATTAAATGAGACTGTCACTTACATATAACATCCAACTGACCGCCACTCTCAGTATCTCACACACACCGGCACCTACACTTCACTCAATTCTCATTTCAAATGTTATCAGTCAAGCCTCTCCGGACCTTATTTAATTAAACAGCTATGGAGCGCAGGGATACGAGGACTGATTTCCACCAGCAGGCTGGATAATGGGAACGTAAATCTGGTAATTCCACTGTGGATCAAACAAATGTCAACATTTAAAATAACCAACCTTGTTTTTAACCACATGATCAGCGCGACCCTGGTTAAGGTGACGTTTGTTTGTTGGTTAAACACTTTGATCCAGAGTGAAATATGGATTGGATAAATTGTAATAAAATTTGGCACAAACATTCCTTGTCCCCAGGGGGGTGAATTCTAATTACTTAGATTATCAGCTGATATGGGGCGTCGGTGTCTTAGTGGTAGAGCAGGCGCCCCATGTACAAGGCTGTTGCCACAGCGGCCTAGGCTCAAATCCAGCCTGTGGCCCTTTGCTGCATGTCATCCCCCCTCTCTCCCCCCTTCATGCTTACCTGTCCTGTCCATTAAAGGCAAAATGGCCAAAAAAAAATAAAAGATTATCAGCTGACATTTTACTTGCCTCACCAACAGGCAAAACTAGTACAAATGGGCGCACAAGCCCAGGCGCACTACTCCTGTGCCTGAGACTGTTACTGCGGAAGTGTTTTAAATGGTAAGGTTTTAGTGAAAATGCTCGTGTTTGGGAAGTATTGAGCATGCAACTGGATAAAAGGGACTTGGATTATGAGGCACGAGTTGTGTGAGAGTTTGTAAATAGATATTTTGTTATAGTTTACTGTGGGGACCCCTTTTACTTCAATTCATCAATATGTATCTCCGATTTTGGATTCTTCGTTCATCGTTGGGGAATGCTAAAAAAACAAGATTTCTCTTACAAGCCTAACACAGGGTGAGTAATTGATATACAAAATGGTTGTTTTGTGGGTGAAGTATTTCTTAAATAAGACAACTTCAGAGGTGCTGGTAGGCGTATTATTTTTACTCACTTCTAAATAAGCTAAGCTAGCACTGTCCCCGTTTGCTATCTTGACACTGAGCTAACGCTAACTGCCTCCTGGCCCTAGCTCAGATATGGTATCTATCTTATATCATCTAACTCTTGGCAAGAATGCAAAAAAGAAGCCTTTTTCAAAAATGTCAAACAATTCGGCAAACACAGTCCAATCAGCCTCAGCTGCACTTTGAGACTGATGCTAAAATAACAGGCTAACATGCTAACGGTAGCAGGAAATTGAGCCTATAGCCTATATCTTAGACAGATAAAAGTAGAAAAGAAATGCCCCCTGTTCAGAGGATGAACGCTTTTACATGAATTAGGTGGTAACAACATCTTTCTACTGGCAACATTTTCCCCACCAATTATGAGAACCAGAGTTAGGCTAGCTCTTTGTTTTAAACCCATTCTACAATTTTGACCATTAGCTTGCTAGCAAAGTTACTGACTAGTTAAATGGACAGGAGTGTTTAATTTTTTTGTCACTACCTCAAATGTGAATTTTTTTTACTATTTGGATGTTTTGTCTTGTCAGATAGTTAAACAAACTACAGCTGGGGAAAAAATAGGACTATTTTTTCAAGTGAGCTTTTTAGCACTTCTAACTATAGTATGTTTAACAGATGGATGACGACCCTTCACTTCCTCCCACTGTACAAAAACGAAGCCAAAATATCCCCAAAACGGCTGCTGCCATCTTGTACTGTTGATGTAATTTGGAGCCAGAGTCTGCGCAGTCACCATATCTGTAGTATCCAGTTCACAAGCACACCGGTTGGCACACATAGCTGTCAACTTTGACATCAAACCACCTTTTTATAGCATTAAATAGCTAATTAAATCAAACTTAGGCTATCAGAAAAAAACATTGCGCGGAAAAACTTGATTTGATGTGTAGTCTGATCTTTTCTTTTATAACCTATACTGCAGCCAGCCTTCAGGGTGCGATCAAGATTTTTTGCCTTCACTTTTGGGCAGCTGTCAAGTCGCCCATCTTCATTACACAGTCTATGCTTTGCAATGTATATGCTAATCCAGTGCTTTCCAGATGCTCCAGCCACCAGATTTCTTCTCAGTCATTGATTCAAGTTCCACACGGTTCATGTATTGTGTCACACTTGCGCTTGGCCATGTCATCAAGCTAGTTTTCTGTCTCTGTCAATCAGCTGTCCATCATTAGTCACTCACTCTACAGCAGGAAACAGCACTTCAGAATAAAAGCTCTGTGCTGGGAAATTCATTGTACTTCAAAATAAAGTGTTTTTTACAGACTTGACATGTTTGTAAGTCACATTTAGAAAGGACCCGTAACCCACTTTTGGATGTTGACCCACCAGTTGGGAACCACAGTGCTTTTTAAAAAGTTGAAACCTCTAAAAATGTTAACACCTCCTATTAAGCTCTCAGATATGTTTACTGGCCCAACTCTTCCACATTTGCAGAATATGAATCTGTGACAAAGCCTGGCCATGACTACTCAGATAACTGTGTATTATTTTTTCTCCCTGCGTTCATTAAATGATAAGCCACATGAAAACAGTCAAAGCAATTAGTAACAAAAAACAGGAATTTGTTGGACAATTTGCAGAACTCAGCACCCACATTTCAGGTGTATCATTATAAACATTCCTGTCGGTAGCAAATCCTCATCTAGAATCAGAGCACAAGGCGACTCACCACTGCACAATATGAGTCCACTGAAATTCATTACCGACACTACTAAAGTATGTTAGTCATGCTAGAAGGAACTTCAGGAAAGGTTCAGTAACAACAGGGTTGAGTACAGTTCAGGAAGTCTGAGTAAAAAATACAATAACTCTACGAGCAGGCACCGAATGTTTGCAACAGAGATTACAACAGATCACTGACTTTCACACCATAACGAAGCCAACCAGCAGTGTCACTGTATATATAGAGAGCGTATATCAAGAACAGTGCCAGGATTGAGCTACAAACACCAGGCGAGAGTAATCCTCTCAGAATTAAAGTGAAGCTTTGGGGCAGTGTCTCAGACAGACACCTCGGTAATTTGTATCACTCTGATGTCTCTGTGTTCTCTTCTCTCCTCCGCAGAGAGAGGTGAGAGCTGCTGTTCACGTCTAAACACATGATATTGTTTTCCTTGTTTGCCTCATTTCTTTTTTAAAAACATGTCTTCCTCCCGGGCTTCATTAGAAACATAATTAAAATGCCTCTCATCAGCACGTCTCACTCATTGGTGCATAATTGGCATTTTGCTTGTAGAAACTAGTACATATCTTTACAGTACAAATCCAACATGTGATTCAAACCATTTAAAAGCATTTTACAAAATACTACATGTTGTACATAGAAAATCAACAACTTTGGACGAAATCTCATGCTAATCAAAAAAAACACACACTCTCTGCCTCTCTCACACACACACACACTCTCATACAGTACATCATAAGGCTTTGGGGTTTCATAAAACTTTGAGCATGTCACGCAAACACCAGTGTGTCAGTGACATATTCATGCCATGCAACTGGTTCTCTGCACTGTGGCACGAGTGCTCTTTTTCTTCTCACGTGAGACATTTAATACATTTGCATGCACACAAGTACTGTATTTGTCCACTGCCGAAACTGTGACTAAGGCAACAGCCTGGTTGCATAAATCGACGACTGTCTAATTGTGTTAACGTGACGAACATGTCTAATTTACACAGTAAAAAGTGTGACTCTGAGTCACCTTGCCTCTCGTCCCACTGCTATCAAAATGAACCAAAAAGCAGTTCTGTAAAATGCTGCTACTTTGTAAAAAAGAGAGAAATTTGACATGTGTGACTGAAGGAAAAACTCCTCAACTCATCGTCTTGGCTGTTTTTGGTGTTGAGAATCCATGCAGAATAACACAGAGGTGTTGCCAGCAGGTCTGAATGCAGAGTGAAGATGTGGCAAGAGCTGGTTGCCTAGTTGCACAAGATTTAATCAAGGTGCCCACACTGGATGAGGCATGCATGACGTCCACGCAGGTCCTTCATAAGGCTCGAGAGATTTCATCAACCAAAGAGAAATTAAGAATATATCAAATATAGGAAGTTTTATATATATATATATATATATATATATATATCCTGCACACATATCCTTCTTTTAGCACATTCATCGACTCAGTGAGGTGGGTTTCATGCAATTAAAGATAGAAGTGTTTGCTACTAAAGACATTAAAAACCAGGTATCCAGCACTGCATGGATTTCTGTCTGTAGCTGAGTTTTAAAACCTTTTCTTTTTAAATAATACATTAAAAAATATGTGAGTGCAGGAGGAATATTTCAACCTGTCTGAATGTTGCACAGAAGCAATCTTTTACTTTTACTTTACATGAATTATAACGATTAATTAAAAAAATTGACTTGCATGACAAACAGGTTCAAACATTCTTACTACACAGGCAGATTTTTACAATTTCTGAAAAGAAACATAAACTTTAAAGTGCCCTGTGGAGTTTTTGACCAGGAGTAGTGCTGTGGAGCATTGTGAGAGAGCTACTCTGCACTTCACATCCTGCCGCTGGTTTCACACGGATTTGCTAATCGACAAACAAATGTCGTAATGCACCGTCAAATGCAGTCGACATAAAGGAATGATATCAAACAAGCTTGGATGTAAACAATGCAAGGTTTTAAATATTTAAAATGGGTTTTATGGGGAAGGAAGTGCATTTCACACATTTGTTAGTCCTGGGGGATTCACACAAAGCATTTTAGTAAAACACATGTATACAGATGTCTTTGAAAACTGATATTTTCCTCTACGTTTTGGGTTCTTATCCGCACGTCAACAGAGTTTTAGGTTACTAAAACTTGTTTTCTAATATCTAAGTTCAAAGATAATGTGGACGAACGTTGTTTTTTTTACAACAGAGAGGAAAATATCTGTTTTTAAAACATCTGTACACGTTCACGGGGCTTGAATGTGAAGACAATGTTCGATTGTTTAAAATAAAACTCCACAGGGCACCTTTAATCTTAATGTTACTTTAATTTTACTAATTTACAGACAAAACTTAGAGGTTTTGGCAACACATAAATGTAACTGGAGTTCTGCTTTCTATTAATACAGAATCAGATCAGATTATGCCAATCATAGTGTTATAATTTCTATTTCTATCATGTGCATCTTAATGCGACTATTGTAGCTGCTCTGTTTGTCCCTCGTCTTCCCCAGTAGGAGGTGGGCCATGGCAACTGGGATCAAAGGGTCATTTGCACATCAGGATGTAGTGCCACTTCAAAGCTCCGATTCACAAAGGCATCTTTGTGCTGCACACATGGCGCGGCTGATGTACACTCGCTTCCTCTGCTGCCGTGGATTTATGTCACATTACAATAATAAAACCATGCCACACATGACCAACACAGTGCAGGCAAGGACAGCGAGACGGGCTGATGCACAGGTGTCGTCCAACCTTTGAACTAGACCTGGCTGAGGAAGTTGGCGGGGGAGATACGTCCAGGAAAAAAAAAACACCTTTCATCTGTCAAATTCATCTGTTGCTGTCGAGACCGGCTTGGTTTAATGAGCATTCATTATTGGGGATGAAGGATCCAGGCGAGCCTTGACTACAGTAAATCCTTCATCCGTCCACATACATCAAGAGGTTCATTTTCAGAGCTTTGCAGTATTTTCAGATCACAGAAAAAAAAGCCTTTCTTTCCTTCCAGGAATATATTTCAATTACTGGAAACCCTCCCTGCTCCTCGCCCTTCATCGTAACGTTCACTGTTTTCATTTAGTGGAACAAAAACAGCAATTTGAATAGAAACCAGTGCAAACATCTAATTTAAGTTTTAATCAGTGTTCTTGTTTTTTGCCTCGTTTGACCGCCAGGTCCCGTGGCTTTAAACCCCTGAGAGCAGTTTCGTCAGCGGCACCTCTCGCTCCCCCAGCAGGTTGTCCCTCTTGAGGCTGGTGCCTTTGTTCACCACCTTGAACTTCACAGACATGTTCTTCACCTGAACCGAGCTTATCGAGTCAAAGAAGAAGTCCTCGTTGAAGACCGGGTTGCGGCTGTTCTTGATGATGTTGCTCCTCTGCTTCTGCAGCTTGCCCGGGTTCAGGTAGATGGACACGCAGCAGTTGATGCTCTTGATGTCAACGTGCTTGTCGTAAAGACTCTCCGCCGCCAGGACGCGAATGAGCAGGCGGGATGTGCTGGAGTCATAGTTGGCGCTGATCCTCACTGATCCGCCTTTGTGCAGGTTCAGGGTTTGCTCCCGATGGAGCCCGTGGTCTGATCCTCCGGCTCCGTGGCAGGAGGGGACATGGAGCCGTCGCTGGATGTTGGGGCTGGGCTCAGCTGAGCTGCACTCGTCAGTGGAGAGGGAGCTGTGGCGAGCAAACGTCCGCTTGGCTTTAACGACTTTGGCTTGCGTCTCATGGGTGAAGATCTTGAGCAGGGAGGCAGAGCGGGAGAGCAGCGGAGAGCTGAAGGGAGAGGACTCAGCCGAGGAGCAGGTATCACTTTCTCCTCCGCTGAAGTACCGATACGGATTCATGTGAGAAGTGTTGAAGTCAGCTGGGTTCAAGTGGTTCCCTGCTTCACTGCTTCTCCCCTGGGTCCTTCTCTGGGTGTTTGGGGAGGTGATGGGACTGGTGAGCTCGCAGTGGAACAGGGACTCTTTACGCCGAGTGTGTGGGCTTTCCTTCAGGGTTGCAAAGCCATAAGGCGTTTGAGTCTTGGGCACATAAGGCAGGGACATCGCTGTCTGCGACTGGGGGTCTGCATTGGTGTCTCCAACATCATCAGCACTCTCTATCTGTATGATATGACGGTTTGCAGCTCTCAGCAAGTTCTTGGTGTCTCCTGCGATCTTGGCGACCAGGCGTGGACTTCTCGGGCTGCTGATCTTCTTCCCACTGCCAATAGTTTGCTCTGAAGTTGAGGGTTGCAGTCCTTCTTTGGGTTTCACAATAGTAACCTCAGGTTCTGGGGGGCCGCTGACCAGCTTTGGAGGAATGAAGAAGTCTGGGATCTTGTCTGGGGTGAGGACGTTGCTGTAGGCGACGCCTTTCTTGTCTCCGTTTTCCCCCTGCCGCAACACACCAGTCTCCACAGATCCGCGGATCTTATCCAGAACCCACATGGTCCCACAGGACAGTGGGATGTGTGGGCTGCAAGGAGTCAACTCAGTCAGGTGTGTCTGCAATTAATAACACACAGAGAGGGGAGATGCAAATAATCAGAGGATGCTGACTCCACAGCAAGCAGAGGGATAAAAATAACCCCAAGGTGTTGCTCTGATGATACTGACTGTGATGAAACCTCAAGCGTTTAAAGGATTAAGACTAAATAAATAGGAAATATTGCAGCACACTGAATCTGAGCTGAACTTCAGGAGCTATCGATTACACATGCTGGAGAGTAAAAGCTCTCACAAAGACACTAGAGCTACAGAGAGGCTTTCTCTGACCGACTGCTGTTCATTTACTCAGCTTATTACGTTTTAGGAGAGGGAAACTAAGAGCCAACATGTCTCAGCAGGCAGAAATGTGAAGTCTCAGAACAGAAAATTATGAAAATCAACCAAAATTCAACTCTAATATTCACAACATAATTATTATTTTTTTGGCAGAGTGGCTGCATTAATTGGTGATGTAAGAGTCAGAATAGATAAACAACAACAAAGAGGGCACTTTACTATTTTTTTTATCTTGATATTTTAGAGGACTACATTTAAAGTTCTTTATCAGCATTGCAGTAACATAAAATATGTGCGCACCCCCTTCGTTTGGGTGCATTTTATTCTTTAAACTACGAAAATTCAGATTTAATTCTGGCTTCCTATTGCGCAAAATAAAATAAAATTAAAAGAGAGAGAAAAATTCAGGTAAAAAGAGGTCAGAAAAATTATTTATAGTCGATTTAGTCAAATTTAATAATATTAATGTTTCTAACTTTAACTCGGCAACAGCAGATTATCTTTCTGCATCTTTAGATCATATGAATTCAAGAGTTTCCAGCAAAAAAGTTGAAGAAAAACATTCAGTAAAAGTTACAGACGGATTTCAGTTCAACAGGTGCAAAGCTTCCTCCAATTGCGCACCGCTCCGTTTCCCAAAACATCCGTGTCTCCATAAAGTCTGTGAGCTAATACACTGCTCCTGTCTGCAGAAATATTTAATTAATATACTCACAGCAACACAGACAGGGGACCCACTCGTCTTTGTCCACTTGCTCCGTCAATAACAGGTGTTTCTCCCCGGGTAAGCCTGTGCGCTCTGCGGCGCTGCTCTGCGCCCTCAGACGGTCTCAGCTCCGGAGCGCTTGCCGTGCGTTTTATAGACGGCACAAGGCTGCAGCTGACCAATAAGATCAAACTGTGCGTTTCCGTGTTTCCCAGCAGAACCAACTAGAACACACACTGGTTACATATCAGAGACAGAGGAAGCTGACAGGTGGGTTTCATGTTCATAACCAACACTTCTCCAGATCATGGTGTGTTATGGAAACATTTGTTCTGCAAGTACTTTGTCACTGAAATTGGGTATAAGGAAACAAACATCACAGCCACTCTGCTTTATTCATGTTGTTTTCCTTCCCCTGGGATAAAAACAAAAGTTATTTTAATTGATTTCACTCTGTTGCGTCAGTCGTTCAGCCCAACATGCCACTCTCTCTTTGAAATCAAGCTTTCAACCAAGGACACCTTTAATGCCAAGAACAGACGTGACACTTTGTTCCTCAGCTCCAGCCTCATCAAAAAGAGGCAAATTTGTTTTTTCCCCCACTTGCACCGGCAGCACAGAGCTTTTGTGTGTCAGTAAATCATCATTATATATAATAAGACTATCTGACCTGGAAACGCGCAAGCAGCTGAGCAGACAATGCTGCATGGAGCACCTGTGCGCTTTAATTCGATATACAGCTCCTCTTTTTTTCCTGTCTGTCTTAGAGTTTCATCCGACTGATCGGTTTCCCTGGAAACTTTGCTATGGCAACAAATACATTTGTCTGTCTAAAATAGCAAGGGCCCCACTGACTTCATTGATCTGCAGGACAAAAAAGCACTTTATTTGTCCAGTTTGCTTGGTTTGGAGTCAACTGCCATATAAAACCCGCGGACTGAGAGGTGCACAGCCGCTGCTGCCTTATCACAGATCGGTTGCTTGGAGCCAATAGCGGCGCTGCATTGACTTGACAGGAAGGATTTAGAAATGTACTGATTTCAGCTGGGAGAGTCAATATCTGGTGACAGCGAGGACAGAGGCTTTACAAACAGCTGATAAAAACAGTTAATGTGAACAGCCCTGCCTGGGAGAGGTGTCAGCTCAGACTGTTTCTGCCTCACCCAGGCACAGATATAAATGAATTTCAGCCTTTATTAAAGCCTCAGTGATGTGGAAAACTTTAACTTCAAGTCAGTGTTCACTTCCATGAATAAAAGAAAAAAAAATCAACGAGCCTCAGTTGTCCTTACTAGAATATATACTGTTTTTTATAACACCTCTTGCTAAAGCTTATATAGACCAAAAACGTTAAGTTACATTACATTTACTCAGTAATATACAGAGCATCCAGTGTCAACCCATATAAAGAGTACAGAATCAGTGTGATCATGCCACCTTCGAGGAGGCCAAACGATGTTGTGTAACCCTCGGTCCAGACTGTTTTCCATGGGAAACACCTACAAGGTTTTTGACATTATCTCCTGCATCATACACTCCCACAGTAAAGCCAGAGGACTCTCGGACCTCTCAAAATACCAAACCATGATTATTAACAAATGTGTGGAAGCCAAGAACAGCTTGGCTTACAATTGAGACCATGAATTTCGTGATCTCAAGATGACAAAGCTCATTTTCTTGTGATAACTCATTAATTATGTTGATTCTCATGAAAACAAAAGGCAGATATCTCGAGACAATTTATCACAAAAAAACCGACTTGTTTTCTTGAGATCACAGAGAACTCAAAAATGAGTGTCTAGTTCAGGGGTGTAAAACTCATTTTAGTTTATGGGCCACATACAGTCCAGTATGATCGCAGGTGGGCCAGACCAGGAAAACCATTGAACAATATCCTATAAATAACAAACACCTCCGAATGTTTGCCTTTTTTTGTTTAAAATTTACAAAACAGACGACAAACAGCCTGCGATGTCTTCAGAAGAACAAATGCAATTATAACAATATTTCTCAGTTGACTACTCACTGTCATTACGTATGCGTTTCTGTGTATTTCCACTCATGTGTCTTAATCCTGACATCACCACACCAAACTAAAGTGAAAGAAAGGAGCTGTAAAAGGCCTCTGAAGCCGCATTTTACAAGAAGAAAGCTACTATAAGCTATAAATTATACCTATGTTCATACTGAATAAGTGTTTTATTTACCCCACTAGGAAAGCATTTCAGTACCAGATCTTTAGTAGTTCACTATAACATTTATTATTCACAACTACACAAACAACAGTCTAAAGTTAGGAAAAACAAGACTAAGCTACTGCCATACTAAGACTCTGGTGTCCCGCAAGGCTCCATATTGGGTCCCATTTTATTCTCTGCTCTTAGACTGCCTGGCCTGCTGCTGCTCAGTTTGATAAAGTTGTGAGCAATTAAAGGTATGTGGTGGGAGGCTGAAGACAATAGGTGAGTGGGTGCCCTATACATTTCTATCACGTATTTATTTTGTGTTCAGAAACACTAGGTTTACTGGTTGTTGCCTCACTTGTATTTGTTCTCTTTTTTTTACATAAGAAAGCTAGGTTTTTGTGTTTTGTTTTAAGGGGTAGAGATTAGTTGAGGCCTAGTTTTGTTATATTGGTTTCTTTTATTTGGCACAACCACTTTTCTTGTCCATTCCTCCCCCACATTTGAAGAACCTTGTGTTACATTTGTAAATAAATCACTTTTAATTTTTTCGCTTCTATTCTGACTCCTTCAGCAACTTGATTGTCATATTATTGTCTTTATAATATCAACAATTTATATCAACATTTTGTGTTGCAGTGTCGGCAATACAAAATTTCATTTTTATGCTGACAATACTTTTACGTATAGTTCTCTCTTATCTTTAGTGAGTGTGATTAAGGAGCTGCAGTCTGCTTTTTATTGTTGATCAAAGGATTCTTTGTGAATAAGAAGTTGTACTAAATCCCAACAAAACCGACATGATGTGCTTTTCAAGTGTGAAGATGACAGCTGATGACGTAAATCATGTTATTTTAAATAATGAGGTGATTGAACAAGTCACAACTTACAAATATCTGGGATTTTTCCAAGAAGATGATCAGTCTTTTAACATCACTAAAAACTCAGGCTGAAGTTGGGTTTCTGTTAAAAAAACAAACAAACCCTGTTTCTCCTCTGGTGCAAGGAAAACTGGTTCAAATGATGCTTTTGTCAGCAGGTGATTATGGTGACATTTTATATACGCATGCAAATCCATCTTGCCTGAAAATAAATGATTCAGTGCACCACGCTGTGCTGCAATTTGTCACAGATTCAGGATTCTGCATACATCACTGCAGTTTGTATGAGAGCGTTGGTGTGTCTTCTCTATACAATGGCAGAATAACACACTGGTACACTTTTATTTATAAGGCCCTATTACATGAACTGCCTTCTTAATTATTTACTTTATTGACTCTTAAAACTGTCAGTAGCAGCAACCTTCGGTCTCGTGGACAACTTATGTGTGTCATTCCCTGAAGCTGCTGTCTTTGGTTAAAGTGCTTTTAAAGTTTTAGCTCCCTCATCTCAGTTTCAGTTACAGAGTTACCTCAAGCTAGACTCTATTATGAGCACAGGAGATTTTAAAACAGGATTAAGGACCTTTTGACCAATGAATGCACAGTCTGCTTACTTAATGCTGTTAATTCAATTGTTTGTCACAAATTGGCTGCTTAAGTCTGTTGCTCGTTTCTTGTGTCTGGATTTTTGATACTGTTGGTTTTAACTTTTTGCTGTTGCAGAGATTTTGAATCTCAGTGGGACTATTCCTGGTTAAATAAAGGTAAAAATAAATAAATAAATAAACCTAGGCGCAATGATGCTTTAAGCTAAACGCTAATATAAGCATGCTAACATGGTGTCCTCATGTTAAACCAGCTTCATGACAGCAGAACAGAGTCAGACCTTTAGACAGCAGGTGATCTCACTGATCTCACTGCGATACAGATCCAAGATCAGTTGTCCCTTCATGTCACCTGATCTCAGACTGCGTTCACACTGAAATAAGAAACCAGATTCTGATCAGATTTGGATGGCCAACAGTTTGAAAAATGAGATTTTAACACCCCTCTGAGGTGGGCAAAATATTAGAAACACTGTAGTGATCCATTTTTTGATCAACAATTTAAATATTGCTCAACTTTTCATGATTGCTGAAATGTTTTTGTGTCATTTATTTAGTAGGTAATGTGTTCAACCCCTCTGAGACTTAAGTTTTTATCTATGAGCAGGTAAAATGGTTAGATACTTGGTAATAAACCAAAGTGAAATTCTGAGCCGATAATGACGCCAGACAAAAAAGGAAGGCTTATTAGGGTTCTCAAAATCTATGCAGAGGGGAATATTTGCCCTAAATGTTGAAACAAAAGCCATCAAAATAGTTGTCATGACATGTATCTCAATCCTTTAAGCAGAAACACCTCTAAAAGCTGAGAGTAATCTCTTGGAAATAGTCGACATATTTCAGTATGAACCAAAGTGGAGGACAAAGCCGCCGGCAGACATTGCTGTCCATTGAGTCATGCCGATAACACACCTGTAAAACTCAGCTAATCTGCTTTATAAGGACTGTGTGGGTGTGGTTTGATCAGTTTGGCAACATAACTAAACAATCCTTCCATATCGTAACTGAAAAATGCTGCATCCCAGCATAAACCAGCAGCAGATGATCGCGGTGCTCTTGGAGACAAAGAGTTAACAAGGGAGTTAGCAATGTAGCTTGGTCCCAGCCCATGTAGGGCTTTGTATACGAGGAGGAGGAGCTTAAAATCAATTCTAAATGTAACAGGAAGTCAGTGCAGAGCAGCTAAAACTGGCCTGATGTGCTCTCCTCTTGATTTTGGTTAATAGCCGAGCTGCAAAGTTTTGAATGAGCTGAAAACTCTCAGTGGTGTTTTTTGTAGGCCAGTAAAAAGTGCGTTACAGCAGTTGAAATGAAGGCATGAATTGATTTCTCAGCATCTTTGTCATTTAGGAATGGTTGTATCCTATGTTTCGTCACCTTGTTAATGTGGGGATTCAAACAGCTGAGAAAAGAAAATGCAAACATCTGTCATGTGAAATATAAACTGTTGACAGTAAACTTAAGAGACTTGATGTCGTGATAGCTCACTCACAGAAAGATGAACCAATACATGCTCTCAGACACATAATGTATATCTAACAGTAATAAATTACATCTGTATGACATTTATCTTGACATACAAAAACAATCCGACAAAGCTGCACATACATTTAACATTTACCGACACGTCTGTTTACACATGCAAATATTCACACACTGAAATCCGGCTCCGGACAGGAGGCTAAACCTGCAACATCACATTCCTCACCAGGTGATAAAAGGGAACCCGGACATTGCGGTTCATCCTACAGCGACGAGGACACGCATCGGGACAGCGTCATTGTGGCATGTAAGCCATGTCAGCTATTCCAGTTATGAGTG